GAAACAATAGTTTCAGACCACCCCCAAGAATCTGCTTCAGGTGTGAACAGCAAGGTCACTGGGCCAGTCACTGCCCATGACCTTGTCCATGATGTAGTCAACAGTGCCTCTGGAAAAGTGCCTGGCTGCTGAGGACTGATAGAGCCTGGACTTGACAACCCCAATCACCCTCTCTGAGCCTTGGATTACAATCAAGGTAGGCGGTAAGGTTTTGTCCTTTCTGGTCGCCACAGGGGCTACCTTCTCAGTTTTGCCTTCTCTGGTCCTTTACACCCTTCCCAGGTCTGTCATGGGAATCAACAGCCGTCCCTCTCACCCATTGTCCACTGGGCCCCTTACATGTCAGAAATGTGAAGGGTATCAAACGGATGATTCCCCAGTAACACAGGGAAACAACAGAGCAGACATGGTCACCTGCAGAGGAAGTGAATCAGACTCAGCCACAATGAGTCTGTCACTTCACAGATCAGAATGTAGATGGGCTTTCTCTGCACAAAGTGTGCAGACAATTTAACTGTTAATACTAAAATTTTCTCCAACCCCAGACAGTTGGTGTAATGGAACTTTAACTAAATATGTAAATTCCTCCACAGCAGGACCTTGTTTTCCAGTTACCGTAGCTCCTCAGCTCACCCAGTATGGTCAGTCTGAGTTAGCATGGTTACTCTCTGTCTGATGATCAAAGAGAGAGGATATTCCTTCCTATAATGGTAGGTATTAGCCTAGCCTTCAATCGCAGCATCTGTAGTGGTTGGAGGAGCACTCGGCCACTCCATCATGTCAGCACAGGATTTCAAAGACCGATCGCAGGCTGCTTTGGAGTCCACCACAGCCTCCTCGGCCTCGTTGGAACATAAGAGGAGGAGGGACTGCGTTTGACTAAATGGTGAATGTCTGCTTTGCAGGAAGCTGTGGATGACTTTGGAATCCCCAATTATCTTCATTTGTATAGAGTATTTATTACGTATTTATTGCACGTTGTTTTCCTAGTTCTTTGATAGCCATACAGCTAAACTGAATAAGGAATGGTAATGTATTGAATGTTAAACATTAAATAATTTAACACTTTGTGAATATAAAAAATCTATAATATATTATTATTTTAGGTAATTACTTGACTAAACAGCATTAACCTAAATTGTCTGCACCTCACTTCATCAGAGATGTTGTTGGGTGCTTTTGTGTTGGTTTTAATCATAATAGTTCTCTGTACAACAGAAAAAATACATAAATGCCACGTCTTGGACCATCCTCACTGCTCCTAAGTGTGAGAACAATTTTGTAGCCACTCTCTGTGCATCTAATTAAGCATTTTCCTCTGTTTTGCTGACACTCTATCAAACAGGACATCCTTCTCTAGGACCTGGATTCCCTGATGACAGGTGCAAAATTTGCGAGAAGTGCCGCTCTTCTCAATTCTAAAGAGCATTCTGAAATGTTACTCTGCAATTTCTTCCTCTTGTGACACATTTGCTATTTTTTAAATCAGAGTTTCCTTCCATTGAATGTTTGCTTCATTACGACTGCAAAGAGGAATCTCAAGAATGACACCTCCAACCAGACAGGTCGTTCCAGCTCCCCTCTTCCCAATGGTAGCGATCCCTCTGTCTGCAACACCTGTTTCTGCCTAAACGGAGACAATGAATAACAAGCATCACTAATGACATGTCGCAAGTTTAGCCCCAGATGTCACCACATTACTTACCCCCAACATATAGAAAATCAGTCAGTCACTACCCACAGTGCACAGGGAGCAATGCAGACAGACCCCTCCAGAGACCTGACCCTTCAACAAATTTTGATTAACAGATAGAATGATATTAGCCATGACAATCTGCATGCCCGAAAGGAAAATGGATCATATAAGATGGCAATGAATGATCAGAGTTACTTTTAATATTTGGACTGCAATCAGAGAATGTTAGTTTCTCCTTTCAAGCCTGCAGTGAGGAGAAATTTACAGAAAAACTGCCCTGGGGAAGCTGAGAGCTAAGAGAGGAAGCCCTAATTCTAACAGGAAAGCATCCCTGTCATCCATCTGTTGTCTGTGTATGGCTTTGCGTCTGTGCTCAGTGGGTCCTTCGTACTCCCAACTGCGCATGTCTCCCCTGCAGGGGAGGTTTGTGTCTGGGCTCACACTGACTTCCCCTCAGTGTGCTCCTTGCACAGTAATACACGGCCGTGTCCTCAGCAGTCAGAGCTCAGCTGCAGGAAGAACTGATTCCTTGATGTGTCTCTGCTGATGGAGAGTCGCGTTGGAAGGATGGGTTATAATTTGTTTACTACCCTCATAGCATATCGCTCCCAACCACTGTGGTCCCTCTTCTGAGGTCTGGTAGATCCAGTTCCAGCAGGAAACACTGGTGATGGAGAAAACTGAGACAGTACAAGTGAGGGACTGCTTCTGGGAGGGCTTCACCAGTCCTGGTCCTGACTCCTGAAGCTGCACTCGTGTAAATAAAGATAATTTGTCTCTGTCAATCACTTGCAGTTATAACCATCCCTATAGACCCAGGTAAGATATCTGAATCTCCTACCTTGGGGAACTGTCACCAGGCACAGGAGAATGCAGCAATAGCATCTTTAGGCCACAGCTCTGCTTTCCCAAGAGACCTAGAGTTCTGCTGAAGAGAACTGACAACCTTCAGTGCCCAAAGGTGGAATTTTAACCTCGTGCCTGAAGAATGATTTGCATATAAGTTTGAAAAGTTCGGCATTGAATAAGGAAGACACCCCCCCCCCCCCAAAAAAAAAAAAGTTCCATTTGAATTGTGGTCCTGAAGAAGACAGTTGAAAGTACCAGGGACTGCTAAAAGGACAAGCTATCTAACTTGGAGTGAAGTGAAGGGATATGGAAAAAAAGAAGGGCTTCAAGGAGCTGGACTGACAGTGTCTGCAACAATGGGCTGAAGCATAGGGACAATTGTAAAGAAAGCACGGACCATACCATGTTTTGTTCTATTGTGCACAGTTTGCTATGGGTGGTAACCAACTGATGGCAGGTAACAACAACAAATGGGTGATGGTTGTGGTTGTCCCAGAAGACATGCTGGCTGGGAAGTAGGTTGACCATAAAGCAGAGCCACATGTAAGCAGAATGGTCACACATGTGATACTGTGTCTGTAATGGTCACACATGTGATACTGTGTCTGTAAACGTAATTGTTTAGAATCCAATCCCGTGATTGCAAAAAGGTCATTAGTCAAGAGGCAGTACAGTGGAGAGATCTGACTAGAAGATTTTCCAGGCCAGTTAGTAGCGGAGAATCTGATGGCAGGGATTCTGGCACCTGAGCTACCCAATGTAGATAGCACATAAGGTCTGAGAACTCTGCTGTCCACTGGCTGTGAGTTAGGTCACATAGTGGTAGAGAGGTTGATGGTGGAGAGACCGAATGGCAGAACTGCTGTACTGACCTGGAGTTAGACCAGTGAGCAGCAGAGAGACCCCCTGGTAGAGAACGGTCCAAGGCGCTGAACAAGAATTGTATCAACAGGGAATATTATGTTCCAAGGTTTATCTGCATCAAAAGCTCCACTGGTTGGCCAACTGCATACAATTTTTATCTTGTTACTTCCAAATTAATTTTTTTTTAAATACTTTTATTGGGGCCTCTTACATCTCTTATCACAATCCATACGTTCCTCCAATGTTTGGTCAAGCACATATGCTGCCATCATCATTTTCAAAGTATTCTCTTCCCACTTGAACACCTGATTCCAAAGTAATTTTCATCCCAATGTATAACCTGTTTCCAGCCTCCAATTAACCATATACCTGTGAGTGGGTGTGAGTCTGTACAGCTAGTGGATGGAGTTGTCAAACCCAGTTGAGCAGGGAGTGAAGCACAGGGAACAGTTGGGTTTAGACACGGTGAAGGACTTGGAGAACAGTAGTGGTATAACTGACCTCCACCTTATAGTAATCACCTTTATGCTGATTGCGATTCTATTCCATTGTGAATTACTCAAATAATGAAGGTACACCATAAATACATATCTCCCCACAAGTTATTAAAATTCCTTAAATTTTTATGAGTTTTTATTCCTAAATAGATTATCAACAACTTGATGGCACTAATTTGTGACAATTTAAAATACAAACCTTAAAATTTACAATCCAGTTTTTTATTTATATTAATCACATTTCATGTGTTAGCTAGACGTGTTACCACCCTACCGAAGTGAACATCAGAGATAATGACCAAGATTTCCTGTTTTATTGCTATGACTGTATAATGAGAAATGAAAAGTATAGTGAGAGTTGTGTATGTGTGTATATATATGTGTAAAAAACTATGTGAAAGTTAGTGAAATCATCATTTAAATGATCCTAGACAATAGAATTCCAAAAACTGTTGATATTTCTCAGCAGAAAAAGTATATATATAGTATATAAGTCAAATATGTATGTATATATTTAGAAAGTGAATGAATATGCTTCTGAACCAGTGTGGAGTGATGGATTGCTTTTATATGGACTTTCTGTCCACTGTTTTATTTTTCCCACCAAATGAATGGGTAGGGCTATGCAAATCATGGGCGCGTACGCGCGCGCACGCACACACACACACACACACACACACACACACGCCCTTTCCTTTTGTACGGAAAGTATCTAAGCATGGCGCCCTCCACCAAGTCTATGAAGGGCGGGGCCGGAAGTGTGTGTCGCCAGCGTCTGACGTGTATTTCGGCCTTTGGCGGCCGCCGTAGTGGAGCGCAACATCCCGTGACGCCCGGAGCTGCAGCAGGAGTTTGAGGAGGCTCTTGCGCACCGGCGGGGCGGTGGAACCTTCGGGAAGTATGTGTAAGTTATCGGAACCACAGGGCGTGAGGAGGAAAACAGTGCTTTTCTGTCTCTGAAACAGGGCGAGCGACGCGCGGACCTGCGGGCGTCAGCACCCGGGGGTTCCCGCTTCCTGGCGTCTGACGGGGGAGAGCGCGCGTGTACGACGCCCAGGCTGTCCTGACCGTCAGGTCCGAGGTCTGCGCATCTTCCTGAACAGTAGAATTCCCTGGGTGGACAACCGTTTATAGTTGTATTAGAGATTCTTAAGTTCTGAGCGCTCCAATTTGCAAAAAGTGGTGACCCAGTGGTTACAGAATGGGCTGCTAACTGCAAGACCAGCAGTTCAGAATTACTATCACACCTGGACAGAAAGACGGTTTCTACTCTTGTAAGAAGTTACACTCTCGGGAAGCCCACAAGGGGCAGTTCATCTTCTCCTAAGGGGTCGCTATAATCGGAATCCACTCGATGGCAGTGAGTTGGGTTTTAGGTTTGGGTTGCTGATGACAGTGACAATCAGTGTCCATTTGCTGCGTCCCCACTTTGATTAAGCCGCCTTTAAATTCTCTCTGATCATTAACCAAGGATATAGATCATCTCCCCCTCGGGAGAATGCATTAGAAAGTAGATTGCCTTTGCTCCTTTGCAGCCTGCCCTCTCCACGGCCTGCCGAGGTGTATGCTTGATGGAGGTCACCTTACTGAGGACAGAACAGGGGCCATTGTCATGAGCCTTGCCTTGACTGGCTTTGTATGAAGGCCCCGGACCAGTCTTGTAAGTCCTTCTATTTAATAAGGTGCATGTCCTAATCATGGCCCCTTTCCTGCTGCTGAAGTCACACCTGTACCTGTGATGTATTGATCTGCCACCATTCATGATCTGTGACATGCCTTTTGTTCTATGCCCTATTATCCAGGGTCCAGGCTGTGAATCCTTAGTTGCTATTTTGACCATGTGCTAATGTTTTCCCTTATCCATACAATGTGTGTGTGTCTTTTGTTGTCTCTTAAAGTTTAATAAATGTTCTCCGTAAATTATATTTGATATATGGGTCACTTTTGTACCCTAACACACAATTTGGATCCTAAATGGCTCAAGATACAATTGTACTTTGGGAGAGCATCTTGACAGCTATACCTGCAGCTGAAGTCAGGCCCTGCAGCCGCTTGGCTTCTATCCTGAATGGGCAAGTGTTATAAAGGTCTTTTAGGTCTGCAGATAAATGCCCACTCTGTCCCTTAGCCTCAGACCAAGCAAATCTGGTTCCCCAGATAAACACTCAGGTGTACACCACTTCACGTATTAACCTCCTGCCCAGAGGTACTCAGGTCTCTTGTTCTGCGGCCTGGGAATTGCACTGCTCTGTCTCCGTCTCTTGGTTCTGCTGCCACCATGTCTCTTGCTGCTTCTCCCCATCACTTCCTCTCTTGTGTCACAGCTCTCTGTCTTCTGGATTGAAGAGTTTCAATGCAAGAATCCAGGATCCACAGGCCCCTACTCCTGGCTCTTTTTTTTTTTTTTTTAAATGGTAGTGAGGTCTCAATTTCTGCCTCTGAAATGGCTCAATTAAACCTAACAGGATGTCTAATGTGACTCATCCCCAGGTTAGGTTTTCAGGCAGCTTATTTGCAACGCCCCAGGTTTCAAGGGTACCAATTTATTCTTTGGCAAGCTTCACAATTCTCTTAAACCAAAAAAAACCAAACTCACTGCCATCAAGTTAACCTGACTCATAGCAAGCCTATATGACAGGGTACAACTGCCCAATGTGGGTTTCCAAGACGGTCACTCTCCAGTGGACTAGAAAGCCATGTCACTCGTGAGAGAAGAAAGCCCCATCTTTCTTTCTAGGAGAAATTGGTGGTTTCCAACTGCTGACCTTGTGGTTAGAGGCCCAGCAGTAACCACTGTGCCACCAGGGCTCCTTTGCCTCGTTCACATTGTCGGATGACACACCCAGCTAAATATTTGGAAGGAGTTAATGGGCCATCGCTAGAAAAACTTGTATAGGCAACCTATCTAACTGCATTGGGTTACTACAAATAATGCTACATTAAAAATGTTATTTGTCTTGGAGTTCAAAAGTGCACTCACTATGGGGGCATGTATATATATAAATTTCAAACTAATAGATGGTATATAAGTGTTTAATATGGAGCCCTGGTTTTGGCATGTGTTAAGTGTTGGACTGCTAACCTCAGGGTTTTAGAGATACAAATCCATTAGCTGCCTGTCATGGCTTTATAGTCTTGGAAGCTCTGTACAGCAGTTCTCCTCTGTCCTATCGGGTGCTTATACATCTAACTCTACTTGATGGTGAGTTTTAAAGTGTTTCTAAAGTGATTGTACAATTTACAGTTTCTCTAGCAAAATAATCTTCAGTTTATAATAGTTCTTTAGATAGCCCATGTCAGATTTTCCAGATGCTTTAATTAACAATCATCATAAAGTTTCATTGATCTATCATTCTCCTTGAGAGTCACACAGTAAGGAATTGATAGTTCTGTATGCTGCGAGGTAGCGATCCAGGTTTATTGTTTCTTCTATCTGACATGTGTATTTGATTGCCCAATCTCTATTTATTATAAAGTCATCTTTTACTCATAGGTCTGAAAATTATGAGCTTTAGATTTTATTCCTCATGGTATTAACATCTTTTCTGTCACTCAATAAGGAGACCATTAGTAGTATTGGGGACTGTGTTAAGAAGATGGACAGGAACACTTACAGCATCTGGACCTAAATTACTCACATTGTATCCTCCCATCACCCTGCAGATTTTGACGAACCAGCAGCTTAGAGGAAGGAGGAAGAAGTACCTGGTTTGGGTATTATTTCTGGGATGTCCCCATGAGAGACTGAAATTTGAGCATCATTAGAGCTGATCCAGACAAGACAAACAGAGCATCCCAGTTGCCGGCAGTTTTATAAGGACCAAAGACAATGACCAAGGATCAGGTGATTCTGATGTGTTTTGTCCTTTTCTGTATTTCCTACTGGAAGTGTAGAGCCTGTATAATACTGATGCAGTTCATTGGAAAGTGGAAATTTGAAATCGTAGAAGTTAGAGATGAACTCTGACTCTGACTTCATCATTGGGATGGAGAAGATTAGGAATACAGTGATCATAGGAGTAACACTAAACTACTGACATTGAACATAATACATCACTAAGGATTCTTTGGATGATACTAGCTCTCAACTGATAATTCATTATTCTATGGCCAGCCCATGAGAATCATTCAAATTTAACACGATGCTCAGTTTTTAAGGAGGAATAAGATCACTTCTTTAGGAGAGTCCATTATTCCATGGGATTTTTGTCTGAGTAAGTTTCTGTCATGTTTCTTTCTGAAGGTGGTGTTAAATAATCTCCCAAACTGCAGCATTCTCATTAATGCATCTGAAATGGGCCTTGTAGCAATGATAATTTAAAAATGGTTGAAAGCTTCTCACCTCCTCTAGCTACAGATGTAGGAGAGAGAATCAACCATCATCATCAGCCCTGATTCATAGGAGGCAGAACTTATATATGTACCCTCCACTGGTTTTCCAGTTCTGACAGCAGTTATCTTTACCACAGTTCTCTCCTTCTCGGTTCATTAATTTGTTGCAGTGGCCACATAGAAATGACAGTCCAGAATCGCAGGTACAAGTTTTATTAAGTAACAGAATGTAACTTGCTATCAGAATCAATAGGATCCACATTGGGATTCATACTAAGGAAACATGTAGGCAGATTTGCTCTTCTTCAGAGCAGGCCTGTTCTCTCTGTCCCTCTCAGACATTGTGCCTTCTGAATATAGGCTCATTTCCTAGTTCCATCTTTCTAGTCTCCTCTCAGCTCCTTGGTGATATCGTCCTCTTGATCTTGCCGGCCTGTTCCACGATCTTGGCTGAAAAGCTCTTTGTGGACCTGTCACTGTGTCCCATCTGCCCTGGTCATTATCTTCATTGGTAGAGCTCTTGATCCAAGAACATTACAGTTCATTTTGCAGGAGCAGCAGTAGACCTGTCCCTATGAGGTAGAGGTTCAGGATGTTCCATGATTTGCCCTGCAGTATCTCACAAAACTGAATAGCCATCAAATAAATAACTCTTCAAGATGTGGAAGCCGGTGAGTCCCAAATCCACAGGTTAGGTATCACTCTGGAGCAGTGGTTCTCAACCTTCCTAATGCCGCAGCCTTTTAAGACAGTGCCTCACGTTGTGACCCCAATCATAAAATTATTTTCGTTCTTCATAACTGTAATTTTGCTACTGTTAGGAATCATAATGTAAGCAGGATGTGTTTTCATTGTTACAAATTGACCATCATTAAAGCATAGTGATTAATCACAAAACAATATGTAATTATATATTGTGAAATATTTATTTCTCATGACAAATAAATGAAATTTTGTTTTGAAGCATGGTGTAGCATGGGAAATAGTTTTCACACCCGGTACTCATATGTGGGGGTATCTGCATGTGGGTGGACCTGCCTGGATACAGATAGAAGAGCGGTGTCTTGGTTCATAAGACCATTGGAAATATGTGTTTTTCGATGGTCTTAGACAATCCCTGTCAAAGTGTCATTTGACTCCCAAAGGAGTTGAGACCCATAGATTGAGAACCGCTGGTCTGGAGGGTTCTCCTCATTGATGTGTTTGCCAAGGCTGATGAACCAGATCCTCAGGTCAGACAACAGTGCGCTGCCTCACAAGGCGAAGTTGTTGAATCTGCTCAGATAGTAGGTTGCAGGGGCTGAGGAACCCAAATGGGAAGATTCACACAGCAGGCTGTTGGCTTACAGAGTGGTGGAAACTCTCTAATCAGGTCACACAGGTGGCTCCCAGTTACAGGGAAGTCAAGGAAATGGCTCCTGCATTTCTGGAAGCTGGAAAATTCCCAATCCATGAGTTCAGCCTGAACTATGTGCCTGCAAGGGCTATCAAAACCAAACCAGCAGGTCAGATGACAGGCCAGTATCTCATTGTCTCTTCTCAACCATGCCTGCAGATAGTTCTCTCTCCCTGCTTCTCTCTCTCTCTCTCTCTCTCTCTCTCTCTCTCTCTCTCTTTCTCTCTCGATATGATGGCTTCTTGGGCCAACCTAGCACCTTCCCTGCCTAGGCAAGGTTAGAAGGGCTCCAGAGGTCGAGCCAATGGCAACAGAAGTAGGAGAGGCTCATGGGAGAGCATGTGATGAAAGATGGGAGGTCCAAGAGGACCTTGTGATTGTTAAGGCAATACTCTCCAAAGGTGGCTGAGAAGAATTTGTCCGAAGGTAGGCAAGAAGACCTTGTTCTAAAGCATAGAAAGTTGTTCTGCACTCAGGAAGGGAGATATTACCTATGAACTTCCTGTTCTTGGTCCTGAGTTATAGCATCTTGTTTCTGATCCTGAGTTGTACTTTGTTCATTAATAAACCACTTTGATCTATGAGTTTTGTGTGGCCATAGCAACGGGTTAACAAACCCAGAAGAGAGACAAAGAATGCTGTGGGCGGAATGACTTACGTAAGAATTGACAACAAATTTTGGACAGCTGAGGTATCTTTGAACTTCCGTCATAGGGATCAGCTCTGAATTGAGCCAGATACCTGTCACCACTGAAGGTATAGAACATCTCATAATGGTGCTACTAATTCCATTTCACATATACTGTTAACTTGTTAATATAAACAGTTACGTGTTTATCTACTCTGTGTGCGTATAAATCTGAGCTATTTCTAGATCATTTAGATAATTTCACTTCTTCTGAAAATTCTAATTTTATGAGTAGGTACATGGGCATGGGTGTCCCCAACACTCAAAAGGGTCCTCAGGAGTAACTGCGATTGTGGAAAATATTAAAGACAGATACACAGGGGCTCCTCTTCCCATGTCAGGACTGAGAATGAATGTATTTTCCAAAGGGGTTTACAAATCTTTCATAAGGCAAGTACATCATACAGTTAACATATATATAGTCAATGGGTAATATCATAAGCAGGTAACATAATAAACAAGCAAGGAGGTGAGTCATCATCTTGACTTAGTGATAGCTAACTTCAAACCTCCCACCCCCACTCCCAAACCTTCCCAGGTTTTGCTACATTTATGGAGGGTTGACTATAAAACACAGTTGCTCTTATCTACAGATAACCTTCAGACATAGTGACTTATCCAGACAGAAATGATTCATCTACTATGGTAGCTCCTTTAAGACTGCTCCTTAATGGAGTGCTTTTGCAGGGGTCACTTCATTTGGCCTGTAGAACATGTATTGAAACCATTTTAATCTCAGAACAATGAGATCTTTCTCAAAATAGGGCTAATTCTCTGTGTCCGTGGTTGCGAGTTTAGCGATAAGTTCAAATACTTTCTACCAAGTCTTCAGTTTACCACACATTATGGAATGCACTATCACATAATGGTTTTTATTACTGTTTTGCTTTATTGTAAGATAAATACTCTTTTAAATCTTCAAATGGAAAATACTTCATTGAATAGTCTCCTCTTACTACAGGAATCACTGACCTTCAACGACGTGGCTGTAAAGTTCACCTGGGAGGAATGGCAGCTCCTGAACCCTGCTCAGAAGTTCCTATATCAGGATGTGATGTTGGAGAACTATCGCAACCTGGTTTCCATTGGTGAGGAGATTTCCCACCTTATGCATTAAACTCTTTGCAGTGTCTGTAGTGTTCTCAAAGAGGTAGATTCTCATTGCATTCTCTGGTCCTAGGTTAGTGGGTGCAGTCTAATACACTTGAGTGAACACCCTTTGCTTTGTTGCTTTGAACATTATTTTCCCACTCTGTAGGCTTCACAAACCTAAGGTTAATTTTGGTGTGCCTAAGATTTTGTAATTTCTCATGAATTGGTTATTTTGTTGTCAACCCAGAAGCTTTGTCTCAATTGGAACAAGGAGAACACCTGTGGTCTGTATTAGAAAAAAAATGATACTAGAATTTTTTCAGGTGTGCGAGCAAAAACCTTAAGGGGACATGTCTGGGGGAGTCGATTCAACTGGCATAAGGCCTCACCTCCATGAGAGGTGACAGATAATACATAAACATAGGTGCTTCAATGTGAGTCTTCACTTTTCGTAGAAGTATAGCGAAAAACTCTTGTAGCTCCCAGAGATTAGATTTCCATGTACTTGATTTACACTGTTGTATGTTTGGTTCCAAAATTTTCTTTCTTGAAAATTCTCAAACCTTTCCCTTTTTCATGTCCTCCTCCCTTGCTATGAAAGTCCATTTTGCAAGCCTCTCTTAGAGAGGCTTTTAATTATTAGAGAACTTTTAATATTGTTTTATAACTTTTAATTCTTAACTGGCCTCCAAATACAGCACATTCCTCCCCTATTGAATAAGAATGGATTTCCCTTTGTAGTGTCCATCCCCAGCTTGGATCTTGAACTCCCACCATAAACGGGTCTCCCTGTGCTTCCTTAGCTTCAGCACTTGGATTTTCCCAAAAGGTTTTCATTTCCATTTTTTCATTTGTTCTCCTAACCCTTTAAAGTTTTCTTTATTATAGTGGTACACCTTCTTTCTGGTTTCTAATAGAGATAGTCAAATTGCCTTCTCTGTCGGCTTAATTGCTCAATTGCTTAACAGACACGTTTCTATATATTTTACGCCTTTTGGTGAAACACGTTCATGACTTCTGTTATTTTTAGGTATTTAAGACCATCTTCCCCGCAAAAAAAATGTTATCAACTTAGGATATCCTTTAGCACTCCTACCTTCAGTGTTTTTCCACCTGTGATATTTTCTTTAAAGTTGTCTACTCCTCTGATAATTTTGTAAGTGGAAAGGACATTTTAAAAATCCTGCATTCTTGGTTCTTTCATTAAACATGTCGGCAAGATATTTCTTACTATACCTTACTTAGGTCTGCCACTTCCCAGCATGTCCAGAATGGGAAAGATGACCTTAGCTGTTTCTAAAGAACATTTTGGCTGTATTTTCAAATGCTGATGTTTTGGTTGTTATTCAAAGGATGCATGGTATAGTCAGTACCACTTCCTCTTTTGTTTTCTGTCCTTTGAGTAGCCTTTTGGTTTCCATATGTATGATGACCTTGGTTTGATCCCACAACTCATCTAGTCTTCAGTCTTTTATTCCTCAAGTTTATTTTTTAGATCGTCTCTAAGCTCAAGTGAGTCAGGTACTTTGACTGTTGTAAACTTCCTTGAACTTTTCTTCAACTTCAACTTGGATTTGAGCAATTGATGATCTATTCCTCAGTTGACCCCTGCCATTGTCTTGACTGATGAGTTTCTGCATCATTTCCTTCCACACATGTGGTTGATTTGATTTTCATGTATTCCTTTCAGAAAGGCCCATGTGTCTAGTTTCCATTTCTGTTGTTTAATAAGCAATTTGCTATGAATTCATCATTAGTCTCTCAAAATTTTATCGTTAATCTGGTGTGTCACTAAAACCACATTTTCCAACTACTGATACTGTTTCCAATTTTACATTCATCAGTTTACGTGATTGTATGGTTGATCAATTTCAATCTGCAAAAGTTAGGTGAAATTTTCAATATATATTTTTTAATCATTCTATTGGAGCTCTTACAGATATCAGAACATTTCATATTTTAATCACATCAAGCAGTATTTTATAATTGATACCACAATCAGTTTCAAAACAATTTCTTCCTTCTTGAACTCCTTGATATCAACTCCCCTTTATCAAGCCCACCCCACCCCTTCAATTTCTTTATTGTGGAAAACAGAACCTGGATAAAAGAGTAAACAGATTCCCTTTGTTGCTTTCACCCTAGGAGTCAACTGTTCCTTTGTCTCTTAAGTGCCTTCTGGATGGTGCTAAGGGATGGTTGTGTAATTAACCTGCAGAAATAAAAAGGCAGACAAAAGTATTTAGGCATTCGCTTCCTCCATGATGCCTGGTCTGAGTGGGAAAGAGAGAGAGAATGTATTCCATCACCAATTTATATAGTCTGGGGCCATGCAAGCCACCCCCCCTCATCCCCAAACAGACCTCTCCCTCCCCCCAACCATATATAAACCAGTTTACTATATAAACTCACAGACATATACCTACCTAACAAGGTGGTCAGTATCTCGCTATGGAGGTCCCTGAACTAATTGGTTGAGTAACTTAGCTCCAGTGCTGAGGGCAGATAGAGGGGAGTGACTATTCCTTGATCAGGGAGAACAATAACAATGCATCTCTTCTTGTAGATAAAGCTGGCAGCTGATGGTGCCATGTGCTTTTATGAGATATCATTAAGGTATCATTAAGGTATAGTGGAATGATATTGTGGGGATGATGGCGATGAATTTTAATAGGAAAATTATGACTGGGATTCTTCTCTAACCCACCAATGTGAAGGCTTCCTCCACCTAGAATCCTGGTCTTGCAGGCTTCTTTAATCCTGACAATAGAGAATTTGTCTGCTTCCACTCTCTTCCTGGTCCTCAATTCCCACAGCTTGATATTTGTCATGAAGGGTTCTCCTAAAAGAATCAGTCTATCCCAGATTCATACTTTGCCCATTCTCTTGTGTATGCCTGCTGAAGGCTTGCAAGCCTCGCTGCTATATAAATTCACTGCTACACAGTTAAAACACTGTATAAATTCAGTTGCTTTTTCGGCATTGCAGATGAGGCCCCAGTACCCTGTCTTTGCTGTCTGCTTTATCTTCCTTAATTTCACATGCTGCTCCGAAGGACCCCTTCCACCGTGGGGCTTGATCCCACACTATTTGCTTTAACACTTGGTGCAAAAATTTAAATAACACTTGTAGAAACTGGTCTTGCAGGCACATAAATGTTAACCTACCACTGACAACATTGTACTTCAGGAAAGATTTTGCAATGTGGTTTTTGTGGTACGACACCAGTCTGTGAATCTCAGCCTTATAAACCACTTGATTATCTAATTAAAAATAGCTAGTACTTAATTAAAGCCCAATAATACATATACTATCAATCGTTAAACATTTCATTTTGTTTTGACAACTTACAATTTTTCTTGCTAATGCTTGATACATCTATCCTCCAATTATTTACAGCTATTTGTTGCAGCTATTTGTTCTCATTTTCAGTGATGCCATGGCACCCACTGAAGGTCCCCAAAGCATCACTCCGTCCACATCATTATTGTTGACTATACTTTGAGAAGTTAGTACTTCTAAAGTGTTATTTCAGTGCCAGTAAACCTGAGGGGTTCGTGTTCTAGAAGTAAACCACCAGTTCCTTCTCCTAGTCTGTCTTTCTGGAAATTCCACTAAGGCCTGTGTGCACCAGTTGTTTTCTCCTACTAGAACAGTCTGCAGTTTTCACATTCCCAGCTTTGTTTAGTACTTAGTTGTCTTCCAGTAAAGATTGATGGAATGACTATCTGACCTCTGGCAATTGAAATTACCAGGCCTTACCACCCCTGTGGTCTAAGGGTCTCAGTGTCATGCTTGTATTGCGTTCTTTGTATATTTTCTTGACCATATTTAAGCAACTACCAAGTCTCTGTTCATTGATCATTTTCACATCCAACCCGGTTTCTTATGAGCAATAAACATTAAGCATAGTATTTACATTCATATAAGAGGGTTGTCACTAAAGATCTACCTTGCATCAATGCATGCTTTAAGGTGCCCATTGTAAATCAAGATGATGAAAAGATTCAATGTTCTGTTCTTTTATAGAGATCCAGAAAGTTGATGATCATGTGCTGCAGCACTCGCAACATAAAAGAAATGTGGACAGAACCAAACAATGCTATAAATTTAATACCTTGGAAAATATTCTTCATCAGCACAAAAATAATTTTCCTTTACAGGAAAATTATGAGATATTTGGCTTACATGAAAAAAATGTAGAATCAGATTTAATCATTCTCGCATTAAATCAGAACAGTAGCAGCAAAATAAAGAAGTCAGTTGTGCTCAATGGAGATGTTAAAACTCTTCTTGAAATTGAACAAGAGCAATTTTGTAATGAAATTAAATTCCCAGAGTGTGAAAAATCCAGTGGTATGAAGTCACAATGCATTCAGCATGAGGAATCTGACAAAACTGAAAAACCATGCATAGGTTTTTGTGGGGATATATGTGGGGAAACCTCCATCAAGGAGTATTTCCTCTGTGAGCATCAGTTCATTCATAGACTAGATAAAACTTATGAATGCAGTCAGTGTGGGCAAGAATTCGACAAAGTATTCAAACTCACTGAACATTATCAAACAGCTGATAAAGGACAAAAACTATATAAATGCTTGGAATGTGGCCAAGCTTTTCATAGTAAATCATACCTCAAGGGACATAAGAAAATGCATGTGGCAGGAACACCCTGTGCATGCAGTGTATGTGGGAAAGGCTTCACTAGTAACAGTGATCTCATTGCTCATCAGCCAACTCATACTGGAGAGAAATCCTCTGTATTTGGTGAATGTGGCAAAGGCTTAATTCAGACAGCACATCTCAAAACTCATCTACGAACTCATAATGGAGAAAACCCTTATATATGTGGTGAGTGTGGTAAAGCTTTCAGCCAGAAGCGATGCCTTAAAGCACATCAGATGTGTCACACAGGAAAGAAACCCCATGTATGTGGTGAATGTGGAAAAGCCTTTACCTGGAAGAATGTTCTCACTGATCATCAGCAAACTCATAC